TCCGCGGGACAGGTGTGTGCTGGTGGTCAACCTATCTATGTAACGCTGCTGAAACGCTGGACGTTCTTTGCATTTTGCGCATGATTTGTATGCAAACCTACTGCTGTAAATCATTTACCTGGTTCAATGTCCTCCTTACACACCTTCTGGGTGCGCCAAGATAACAACGTTTCATTCCGTCTCGCAGCCACACACAACCTTCCCAGGGCTGATGAACCATAACCCATGGGTTGGGTTACACACAGCAATCACACATTTGCCGAGATGTGCATACTGATGGCTGCTGCTGGACGCATGCGAAGTATGCTACAGTTCCAACGATTGTCCCGCCGATTTTAGTTGACCGGCCATAACTTCATCAATATTAACTTTTTTCATTTTATTTTTTTTTAGTGTTGATCTCCGTCGCAAATGCCACAAGAGTTGTTCGGGGACCAAATCGATTTGAGACGTTCCTGAGAATTCGTGGTTCTCGTATAGGTTTTTCCAGGCGTTTTTTGGGAGGAGGGGATGAAACGTTTCGGCCAGTATCTCGCCAAACGCTGTCATAATCATGTCGTTTTTTTTTTGTTCTTGATTGCTAACGGCGGGGTTTGACCAGACGAACACGATGGCGCCCTAAAAAAATAAATACAAAGACTTTATTACTATATATACCCATTTAAAGAGGGGCACAAGAGATTGTACCCCCCTTTTCCGGTCGCAAAACTAGGTGGCAACGCGTGATGTTTGGTTGTTTTAGCTTCATCGTCGGGAAACCTCGCTATTTACACTCGTCTACTTTCACAATCGTACACAATACACGTTAGTCTACAGTATGTACATACATACAGTACAGTATGTACATACATACAGTAGTACATCACGCTCAATACCGATCTCATTGACCGGGAAACGCAGCCGGTCTGGGCGAAAAAAAAAACACAACGAACTCCCTGGAAAAAATGGCACCGACCGAAGCCAAACTCGAGGTCGTTCTTCCGAACCCCGTACATACGTACCGCCGCGATCATAGCATACACTACTTGGGGTTAATGTACTCGGATGGAGCTGGCTTACGGTGCGACTTGCATTTCTCTTGCGCCTCTACCGCCTCGGCGCCCGTAAGCCCGGCGTCGTACACCGCGTGGAAGTTGGCCACCTTCCTGCAGAACTTTTGAACAATGTCTAGGCTCAAGTTGTGTACCCCGTAGCTCTTAGAAACGTTCTCTCGCAAGCACGCGATAGTGTACTTGCAGTTCCTACGTACCCACCACTTAGATCTACCCCACACAAGCTCGATCGGGTTCAACTCGCAATGGAACTTTGGAAGCATGAGCGCAACCCCTCCGTGGCGCTTCAGCAGAACCTCTAGGCTAGAGTCGACGTTCGCAAAATCCTTTTGCGCGCGCAACACCGCCGGCATGCTCATCTTCTTGTTAGGCTCCTGGCCCTTCTTGCCCCCCGACATGGTCATACCTGGGATCCAAAGCCCCCTCTCAAACAGGATTTGCTTCATCCCCTTGACCTTGCCTACGTGATCGGTGGCGCCTGGCTCATAGAATGGATACTCTCCCTGCTGGAAGGTGAGGTGCTGCACCGCCCCTACCTTCAGTTTAGGTGTGTCTTCCAGTATGGTAGTTGCATTCTGAGGAGCTATCTCCTGACCCTTTCTCACCCCCCCGTACCCTGCGTTCATCCTAGTTACACTCGGTGCCCCCTCCTCAACGCAATCATGACACGATGACCAGTCGAAAAAACAGATGGGCCTGTGCCTCGGGAACTTGACGGCCAACAGATCCAACACATCCGCCATGTGCTCGATCATCTTCTCCCCTGTCCAGTAGCCCTCCTTGTTCTTGCCGTACTCGAACTTGTAGTACGTCGAGAACTTGCGGTCGTCGCCCTCGCCCTCGAAGTAGAGCATGTTGATGTCGCGGTACTTTTCCGGCCTGGTGTGATCACCTGCTGCGTGCTTTTCCTCCGAAATGCGGCAGCGCTCGCGCCGCAGATCTTGGGCCTTGTCGATGTCGTCTTGAGTGCCCTCGACGAATCCGACGTCGCCCACGATGGTGCCGGAAATCATGATGCCCTGTCCTTCTCCCTTCTTTTTCAGCCCGTGCATCATCGGCGGCCACCACGCCTTGCTCTCCCCGTCGTGGGCCCTGTAGATGCACTCGTCCTGGTAGCAAAATATCGCTCTTCTGCCATCGGCGTACTTTTTCTTGCTGGTGACCCTCGCTCGTAGATCCGGATGGAACTCGGAGAGGGTTTCTGCGAAGGCATGCACGCAAACCCAAACACGCCCGTCCTCCTTCATGTCCCTCGGCTGCGTTTCCACCTCCCAGGATCGAACTTCCTCCATGCTCGCGTCGATCCAGATCTCCGTGTAGTCGCGATGCTCGAAGTAAGCGGGGAGATACGTCTCGACCCGGTACTTCAGCACGTCTTCACGGTCATGACCGTCGTATGCTTTGCGAGCTTGCGCAGAGCCTCTCTCCTACACACACCCCTGTTGCTCTGGCGCTTGAGAAACGCCGGTCGCCAGTCCTGCTCATGTTTCTCCACCTCTTGCGCCGCATCCAACATCGCGCTGGAGAGGTCCCGCACTTCCAAGCGGCCGCAGGTCACCTGGCCAAGCTCGATTCGCTCTCTGTATCTATCCAACATTGCGCGCAACCTCTTCCGGCCGAAGGTTCCCTTCGGTCGGCCAGCCCCTTCGTATCCTGGGCGCTTTGGAGGTGGTGTGAGGATCTCAGCCGCAGGCTGACAGTCTCGCGGCCTTTTTCCCCGCGGCGGCGGGGGTGTGTCGTTGCTGCCACGCCTCGCATCTTCTGTGGAGAGAACGGCGCTGCCGCTAGAAGAAGATGGCCGCCAGGCAGCAGCCCACTTTGCCTCGGCCGACCAGTCACGTGCCTTGGTTTGTCCCTTTGGGTACTTGATGTAGTCGCTGCGCCACATGCTGCTGGACCCATCCGACAGGTCTGCTGTCAGCTGGAGACGATACTTTTTCGCGCTCTTCACTTGAGTTACAAGGGTCAGCGTACCACCACGCCTAGTCAGGGCGTCCCTGATGGCCGTCAGCGCCTCGAGGCGAAGCGTGAAGGTCATGGGGCGTGCAGGGCGTCCACCGCCAACTTTTTGTTTTTCAGCCGTTGGGGCTGTTGTGGACATTTTTTTGAAAAAATCGGTTTAGGTTTTTTTTCGGGGCCTGCCCCAAAAGGTTCGGAAATGGAACCAACGCCATAAAATAGAACAGAAAGAGAGCTTCAATTATCTGCAATTTTTTTCGGTCGCAACCCCGTGGTTGTCGAGATATGGAGGATTTGGTGGGATGAAGTACCTTAGGTGGCGATGGTAATAGGCCCATAACTTTTGATCCAGAGCGTTGCGACCCATTTTGAAAGGCTTTTTCGAACGCCGCTGGCGAGAGCTTTCCAACGCATATTTGCTTGTCGGTCAAAATTTTGGGGCACGTGTTTATTTTTATTGTCCCGCCCCAAAACTGTCAGACAATCGTTGGAACTGTACTTGGCAAGAACAATTAAATGGGGTGCTGGTGTATGTATTCAAAGAAGCGGCACGGTTCTGTAGCTGCCCAAAGGTGCCACCCCGCACTAAGCACAAACCAGGATTCGAGGGACTAAGATAACACATGCTCGAGGCTAGGTTCGCTCTTGCAAGTCCGAAAGCCCGCCTGCAAGGTCGCTGGTCGTCTCCTGTCTCCGGTCCGCCTGTCTTGCCTTCTTCGAAATTCTGCAGATACCTCGAAGCGAGTCATGAGCTGCTGCTAGCTGCATCGGATCAATCGGATGCTGAATGTTGCCACGAAGCTCCGTGGCAGGTACACTACTGCTGTAGGTGCAATTAGCGGCTCCTCGCCCGGTTGAGGTTGGCTACAGTTGAACAGCGGACCCACAGTTCAGGCGTTCAGAACCTGTAGGAAAAAGGTGGTGACATTTTTTCTTATAAAATTTACGTACAGCAATAGTTGTGTGTTTGCTGCGACACCAATGACATCTTTCTAGGATATAGAGAAGAGGTTCGTACCTCGGTGTTGCAGGGAAGTAGAGAGGAGGCGTATGATTGTTATCAGAAATCATGAGTGAATTGCTTTTGCGAACAGCTTGCCCATTTGTGCTTGTCTTGCCGCGAGGGCGCGTAACTGTTACTGGTGTAACTTGCTGTGTAACGTGTTGTGGCAAGTCTAGTTGTAGATGCCGATTTCGAAGATCGCACACACAGGCCCATCAGAAAGTATGTCTACCCTCATGGTGTCTTCTACCGTGGTCGCTCGCACGGGGGGGGCTGTTAGTGCGCGCGCGCGCCACACATGGCCGTTGACCGTTTATCTTGGTTGGTTAGCTGAACGCAATGTAATGGTCATCGTTCTGTATATTAGACTACTTCCCGCCGTGATGTTGTTTTCCCGGTCTTGAAGAACCCTGCCTTCAAAATGTCGGTCAAGAGCGAAAGTCATCGCAGCGCGTAGTTGTCTCGATGTTCCCTAGCAATGACACAAGGTTTGGGGTAGTATCTGGAACACAAGTATACTCATCTGGTACTTAGATTCTCTTCGTTTTTAGTTGGGCTCGCACCACGAAAACCCACCGCCCACACTCCCCACTTAATTCTCGCACGCTCTCGCTACCTCCGTTGAACTATCACAGCCCCACGCAACAGAAGAAACGGGTGCACCTCAGCAAGAACATGCCCCAATTGAGAGAGGCGGGCTTTTGGGGTCAAGGGACGAGGAGGACGTTCAATTCCTGGAAGCTCTAAAGGGGCTGGTGGATGACGCGGTGAAGCTGTTGGGAGCGGACAAGGGGGTCGGGAAGTGGCTTATGAGTGGGCTACTGAGGAAGAGCGGCATGGTTGATGTGAGATGGAGGGTTTGGCGCGTGCAGTATACATATGGCAACGAACTGCTGCCTGTGACACGATCCACACTAAGTAGTTTCGGGCGTGCATTGGAAACTTGTGTTAGTTTCCTCAGTATCCCGTTCACGCATTCATTCCCGATGAACACTGCTCTGTTGTGCCGCGAAGCCATCTGCCTCAACACGTTCAAGCCCCACGTCTGAAATGCATCTTTTTTTCCTGTTCTTGAACGTGCTGGACCTTGCTGCCCCAGTCATTCGTAGATTCCGTGGTGGTGTTCATCGACAGACGCATTGATGCGCTCGTCTCAGTAATGTCTCCCAAGGATGCCGCTTACGCGTTTGCGCGTAGGCTTCGACAACACGTCCAGGCACATGATGCCACCACCTTGGCACTAGGGATTAGAGCTGGCCGAACGAGGAAGAGCTCCGAGAACATCAAGGGCCAAAGGGACCAAAACGTTACGGAGAGCGTGGGGGAGCGTCCGGCGGCGACGGGAGACGGCGAAGAGACGGAGGAACACGACGTCCAGGTGAGCTGGGGGATGAGCTCTGGACCTGTTTTATTGATCTGGTTTTGAGCATGCACGTTAAACGCTAGACGAAAGCTTCCAAGGAGATGTAGCGATCATGAGGTCCGTCTGCTTGAAGTCTGTACATCTGTCAGACCCTTCATCAATGCGCTGTTGGGCAGCGACGGACAGCAAGCTTTGGTTCGCGGCACGCTCGGCACACGTTCGTGGCAGCATGAATGGTAGCTGTCGGCATGAAGCAGTCGATCAATGCCTTGATCTTTGGCATGTATGTACAATGCAGTTGGTTTCCACCCGATTACAGACGTGGTACGCCCTTGCTGTTGGATTTGTGGCGCAAAACGGATACATGCAGGCCGTACAACTGTGGCGACAGTGGACATGCTCTGGTGGCTTCTGGCCGCCGCAAATGCCCGATCCGAACGATCCTGTTTTCGACGGACTCGATGGCACCGAGGAGTTTCTGTGAGTGCAAGCAGTACTTCACCCATGTGCTCGTCGAGACACCGGGGCCAGCGTCCACTGGCCTGATGCAGATGTGGGTGTAGATGCCCTCGTGAACTCCACGACCAACAATGTATTGCGTGCCTGACGCAGCTACTTTCAAGATGGAGGTTCCAAACACGTCAAGCGCCTACATCTTCAAGTCCATGGCTTCCGACCTACCATAAACCGCTGCCGATCGAAGTTCATGTCCTCCTTGTACCAGAGTCTGTTGCCACGCATCCGACTATCGAAAATGACACAGCAGTGCTTTGAATGTTTTCAACCCCTGTCCGCGTTTTCTGCGCTCACACGTTCGAGGCGTCAGTTCTAAGCTGGACGAAGGCATCCACTTATTTCTCAAAGAAATTTCTCGAGATATTCTCGAAACTGCGCTACCTGAAGACGCGGAAGAGCTTCGAGCAGCGAGTGGTGGTACGAGAGGGGCGGGTGCTGACTCTTCTCGATCTTTCATGGAGACCGCTAACCGCTTGGCCCAGCTGAAGAGTGGAGTTTTGGAACCCATGTTGTGCCAGATGCTGACACAACATGTCGTCAGGTGAGCGGAAGGATGGCACCTGCATTTCTAGAATGGCCTACCAAATGTGCTCAGGTCGGAGAGGGGTGTATTTCCGTGATGATTTAGATGCGTTGGACGATAGTAGTGTTGTTTTTGGCAGAATTTTGCCAGGTCTTCTTACGCACCCTGGTGTGCCATGCAGCACTTAACCACGAACACCTGACTAGCATTGCAGAATTGACTCACCAAGATGTTCTTGATCCCCTACTGTACCCGTGCCCCCATGATCTGCCTTAATTGTTTGCTCTCAGTCGGTTCTGTCAATCTACCAAACTGTTGCAGTTCATGCTGCAGCTGGTTCGCCCAAGCGCGAATCTCAGCTCTGCCGGAAGTGACATGGAACGCCCCAAAGTGAGTCACCAGCACGCAACTGCAGCGTGCGTACGCTCTCAATGCCTGTCGCTACATGTGAAAGTGTTGGTGTGGATCTTGTTGTGAAAAGTTTGGCGGTGGTTGTTGTCCTGACGTTAATCTTGTCCATCGACCTGCCTTCCATCCAATGCCTCCTATTCCGTACTAGCCGCGACGATCATCAAATTCCCATGGATACAGGGTAGTCCACGCGAGGGGCCTTTGTCAAGCAGGCAAAGGTACTGTGAAATTCATAGGAACTCCAATATTACAACGCAGAAAAACGCAAGTAGAGGTACACGCTTAAGGTCAAAAGGACAAAAAAAACAAAGTAGATCCCATCGCTCAGACACACCGACCGAGCAAAGAAAAGTTGCACTGCAGGAAGAACCTCTAGCGCTTGAAAATAATGTGAAGATACTAAACGAGCTGCCCTTTGGCGTCGAGAAACAACTGTCGTAATGTTCGGGGTAGCCCCGCCACCCCGAAAGCCCCTGCCACAATTACTTTGTTCCAGGGCGCCAACTTCCTGCGTTCGATGGCATCGCCGCAATTGAAAAATCCCTCGAATCGTGTTACCCCTGCCTCGGAACAATCACCGTTCTGGCCATCTTGGCATTGCTTTCAAGTGACACACGTTTACGATTGGTCATACACTATGCGTGTGGAAACATGGAGGCTGAAGCACATCGTATGTACTTCAAGCGTTGCTTGGGGCATGCCTAGAAGTCTCATCCGGTTTGCTCTCATCGGGTGATGATGGCTTGTTTGCGAGAAATGCTACGCTCTGTCCCAGACAGTGACCTTACGCACCCTCACATACTGGGGAGTGCGCGTGTAGCAGGAATCGTTGTACGGCGACGTTGAACAAGAAGCACGTATAATAGTAATTTCATTCCAAGGTTACCAGCATGAACCACCTGCGCCACAGCATGGAGAAAGCCCACCCCCTGCATGTTTTTGCCTGCGCTCTTTCGCGGTCCGAAGGCGTTCTCATTGTTGGCAGGGGCGTTGGAGAGGTCTGGCAGCACACCGACGGGCACGTTGAGGATGGAGCTCATGCAAGGTCTCGTCAAGATGGCGTCGGGTAGCAGCAGAAGCGGAGAGGATTCCAGCTCTAGAGCCATACCCAACCCGCCCGGAGATACTGGGACGCCACCGGGGAGCGGCAAACCCGAAGGAGCTAAGAAGATTTACCTGGACAAGCGCAAGATCGCGAAAGCTGGCAGCTCGAAGACGATGGAAACAAGCGAAAGTGCCGATAGCGCTCGATGGTCTAAGGTGGACATCGGGAGTGAGAGCGGAGACGGGAATGTCGGGAATACCTCTCTAATGAGTGCACCAGCAGCGGCTGCTACGCGTGGAAAGGCTGGAGGCGCAAGGGACATATTTTGCATCCCTAACACAGAAGAGGTCAGTGGGTTGGTGTGGATGTGAGTTCGCGAAGGCGTTTAACCTCTCGCACACGGAGTATGACATCCGCTTGGCCCGCGGTTTCCTCTCGCCATTGCTTGCTAATACGAGTCCCGTGTACACTGCAATCCGCTCAACGCCCCCTGACAAACTGGCGCAGTTATCGCTAGGGCTTGTAGGTGGCGAGAAGGATAAGTTCTACGAGGGCCTAGAGGTACGGTTCTGAGAAGGCCCGTACTGCTAGTAGGTTGCGAACGGGCAATGGATGGGGAGTATCAGCAGTTGGCCAACTCAAGCGGGGTATTCAATGCCGGATACGGTGCTTGCCCTGTCGTACTCTGAAACCGTTTGACACAGGACCGGATATGTTTCGGTTATTGGCAATATTCGTCCATTCCCCATTTCTTTGGTGCAGGATCAAGCGCTAGAAGAACTCGCCAAGTTTTTGAACTCCGAGATAGTGGATAAAATCCCTCTGGCGAAGGTTTTCCTGCCGGAAAGCTGGGTATCCGATCGTGTTACTGCCGCCCGGGTGAGTTGTGGGTAGTGCAGCTCTGCTCAAAGAAGTTTGTTTGTTGGGAAGCCCATGAGGCGCGCAAGTGCCCGCTTAAAATGGAACAGTGTGTGAAGCGGACACGAGCGAGGAAGTTTTTGTGCTTTTCAAGGCGCCTCGGTCGATGAAACCGCTCAACAACCACCCACTGCGATGGCGTGCTTGCTTAGAGCGTGGGATGCCGAGAAATGGCGGACGGGCAACCCTCCCTCTACGCTTAACGTCTTGCACACGAAACTCCCGACACTCACCTTCTTCCTCTCCTCCAGGCTGTTGCGAAGCGGCCAACCAACCTCATGCTGGTGCTATCGATCGTCGATGCTGCCAAGAGTGTATTCGGCACTGCCGGGGTCAGAGACAAAAAGAAGTCCTTCGGCGCCCCCACCAGCCATTCGACCAACACTCCTGTTCCCATCGCGAAAGAGGCCGTTGCTGTCGTATCTGGCAACGTTCCAAGCGAACCGAGCAAGGGCAGCAGAACAGCAAGTATTCCCGAGGCTCGTGGGCAAGAGACCCAGGCAGGACGAGGCAGCGGCTTGAACGAAGCTTGGGCACCATCGCATGGCGCAGAATCGAAATTGCGGCGGCAACGAAGACGCGGTCGACGAGACACCCCCGGATGGCGAGCTTGGGAGGCACGGTGAGGAAAACCCCTGAAGGGAGGCATATTGGGAGCTGGGTCGTTGCTGTTTAATGTGTACTAGTTGCTGCCATGGAATCATGTCGGCATTCAACATGAGAGAGACATTGACAATGCTCTTGGTATCTTCCGTGACTGGTTTCAGGCGGTGGTGTGCTGGGCAGGAGGCTCGAGCGCGGCTTCTGCACTCTGATGCTTCTCTCACAGTGCATGTGTCTGGCGTCTGAGTCGCATTTATCCACCAGTGCGAAGCAAACTATGGAACAATGAATGAATGGTACTCTTCTACCCGATTCACCAGGAAGGAACGCTTCTTTGGGATGGATTTAGGAGTGGCAGCAATGCACGTCGGCCGGTGCCTCCTCGGACAAGAGGCCGTTGAACACGGGGACGCAATCCTGAAGACCGTCAGTCTAGGGTACTGTTCGGTGGAGGCCGTGGTGCGAGATGAGGCTTCCAACACCTTGCGAAAGTGAGGGCATGTCTATATAGAAGCGCAAGGTGCCGCAGTACTGCTTGTGACAGACATGCCGTCAAGCTGGCGCATTTGTGTTGCGCTTCCACCCTCTCTTTGGAAAAGTGCTCCATGCCAAATCTTGTCCGCAATAGTGTTCCAGTTGGCATGCGACACTTGCCCCGAGTACGTGCGAGACTCAAGTGAGTGGCCACCCCACACGCTACGACTGCAGAGGCATGGTGTACGCCACCTTCGCCGTCGTCGATTTTCCCCGATCTTACTTTGCTTTGTTTACCGCCGACGGCTATCGGACGGAACTCTCCTAAAACAACTATCCGTGTAATAACTGGTCATCGTCCAGACGACAAGAGAGCCGCACGACTAGGATATAACGGCAACAGCCCCTACTCGCTACACCGGCAGCCCTTCACGCTTGCACAGGTTTTCGTTTAGCCAAGGGTAAGAATGAGACAACATATTTTCAAATAACAACATTGCGGACGACTCGTGAAGTTGAGGTTGCCACGCTTACACCCATTCCGAGAAACACTAACGTCTTTTTGTAAGAGGCCGAAACCGTTGCACTATGTTCTTGGGTACCCCAGCCTGACCGGTATTGTTTTGGATACCTCGCGTCCGTGTCGATCGGGAATGACAGGTGTTCGGAAGTTGCCGTGTCGGACATGCTCCGAAGGGTCAAGCCCCTGTCGACACAACCCATCCTCTACGTTTCCTGTCAGATGCGGATGTTGAGGGCTTTGAAGAAGACTGGTCTTGATTTCTCCAAGGTGCGATGCCACGGGTTAGGTTTCCGATTTCCCTTACGGAGCTGGCTCGCACGATGGCGGGCTGAGTATTGATGTGCTCGGCTTGATAGTACTCCATTTTCCCCTCTTCTTTCGCAAGGAACGCTGATGGTGTCCTTCGGTGTCGCACCAACATCGGCCTATGGTGGGTTGGATGTTTCCATCCTTTCTTGAAAAGGTTTCTGAACACCCCCCCTGCTGGTTTGCGCTCGACGCTTTTGTGAAACCATGTTTCCCTGTTGTGTCTTTCATAGTCGCTGGGCGACGGCCCTCAGAAGAAAGCTCTCTCCCGTCGCTTCAGAAGTTACTCGTGGATATTCACGGACGCTCTCATCGAGAAGCTTGTCGCCTTGAAGGCCGAAGACTTGGCAAGGTGTCGCGCCATGGAAAGTCAATCAATCGCCACGACGCCTCATTTATCGGAGCATGAGGTAACAGTACCGCGGGAAATTTCGGTTAAGGAACGAGAGCCCCGCAAAGGCGTGAGTCGCACCGACAGAGAACACGAGGTGAGGGAACTGAAGCGAGAAAGAAAGGCACACAAGGGTGACATCATGCGAGAAATGACGGCAGCGTGCGACTCGAGCAAGGACCTCCTCGTTAAAGTCGTTGACTCGTGGCTGCCAGACGTTCTGGCTGCGGACAGAGCGAAGGAGGGAAGTGTTGAAGAACAGGCGACATGATTTCATTCCTATGAAGGTGGTGGCGCCAGCATTCACGACTAGTGCGAGTTATTTTCGATTTTCAACAACCATGGCGCCGACACGTCACGTAAAACGCCTCATTTTACTGAGGTAGACTGCGCACTTCAGTGTCGTGCCTACAACCCCTCATTTTTCTGAGGTAGGCTTTGCACTTCAGTGTCGTGCCATTGATATTGGTGATACAAGGGAGCACCTGCAACAGTATTCGTTTGGATTTGGATTTGGACATGGGCGTGCGTGTAGACGCCACTGTTTTGCAATTGAAACGATGGAAGGGGTCTTCTTGTAATGATGTTTGTATCCTCTGCGTGCGGCGGATATTGATTTCTTGTAAATGCCATCTCCGGGGATGGGATCACAGTAGAAAGGGGATCTTTGAATTTTCTTGTCGGTCCAGCTTTTTTGAACGTGTCCCCCATTTTGGCTAGAGTTTTGTGATGGGGGAGCCGCTCTGTTTTCGATGCCGGAAATTGCGCAGCTGGTGATTCAATTCCAAGCAGGGTTGCCACAACTTGTCGCGTAGAGTTCTGAGTTTCGGTTTGCGACGGTGTCATGTGAGAGACTTCAAACGAAAAACACCAACAGCGCGTACGTGCTGGAGAGACGATGTAATGGTCACGCATACAAATGATCGTGTGCGCAACACTTAAACGCCAGTGTGCATACGGGTGCTAAATACGGTGGGCATTAAAAGCCCAGGGGTGATCAGGATACTTCAACTGATTTTTTTTCCGGCTGGACAAAAACACAACAAAACCGCCTCCAACACAAGTATGTAGATATACGAGCCCAGGACACGTTGGCACAAGAAATGAACGCAGCATACACTACTCAATTTGGGATTTCGTGTGAGTTTGTACGGGGATTCACGAGTGCTATGTTTGTTTGTTGTTTTGTTTGTTTTTCTCCCATCATTGGATTCTGTCGGCTGCCCTTCTGGCCCCTATTCTCCATTTCTACCAGCTAGATGACCCAACCGGGGTCACATATCAGTGCTGCGCGCAGCAAACAAAAAAAGAAAATATATGGAAAACGAGGCCTCCGACAAACGTGTCCCCCCCCTGGAAACCCTGCCAAGCATGCGGCGAGATCCGCGCAGTGCTCACCATACATCAACGTCGACAGAGGGCGAAGCAGGAGCGTAGGCGTCCAATTTCCGACAAAGGTACGCTGGGTTACTCATACACTAGAAGTCGGCGAGGCTCTTTGGATCAGTTATGCCGCGTAGCAGGTTTAATCCGGAATATACTCTGGGCGTACCACCAGACGACAGCCACCGACATCACGTACCCAACAGCAGTAACACCCCAGTCTCTTCATGACTCCGGCTTAATTCAGCCACGTTAGGGTTGTGCCATGTACTCAGGTCACATACCTATCTATTACAAAAAGAATGGCTTCATTTGGTCCAGAGACACCTAAGCATGACGAGGTCAAAACTCAATTTGTTGCTGGATCCCGTGGATGGTGGCAGCATCCGTAGTCCCGCGTGTGCACGGCGGTGGGTGCACTTTCACGAGGTTGGCATGATGCAACGAAACGTCGTCGAATGTTGTATCTCCTAAACCTCATGTACCCACCTATTACGAGAGTAAATAGGGTATTTGGTACAGAGACACATGATAATGACGAGGTCAAATTCAAAGCTTGTTGTTGGATCCCGCGGGTGATGGCCAGCAATCACGGGCACGTGTGTGTACGGCCGTGGGTGCATGAACATAGCGTCGACAGGCCACAAGTAAACATAGATTGACAAACTCAGCTCACATGCCCACCTATTGCAAAAGTAGTTACGTCATTTGGGTGAGAGACACCGAAGCATCACGAGTCCAAACCTCGAAAAGCACACGGTGGATCCTTCTCATGTGTTGGTAATCATCCGCACGCACCTGCGCGGCCTGGCGCGATGCACATCGCAAGCAGGCCCCAACAACGCAAAACCGGAATATTAGTACGTGTTGCATCTGGCGCACTAGCATACTACGAAACGATGCCAAATCTTCCAAGTCCAGTATTCGATCCGTTCTGAATGCTACTGCCACTCACGTTTCGTCATATGTGTGGTTCGGCGAACCCGTTCGTGCTGGCCACATGTCTAAGGAAAACACTAGAATTGAACACGTCGATCTGGAAACTGCCACCGACAGTTCGAGGCGGCACCACGAAGAAGAGCACCGCTGCTTTACAAACTTGGAGACTGACCACTAACCAATTGTCGTTTCTTTTGCGTGACGATACCCTCCCTCGCTTTCAGGGTGGTTTCTGTTTGCGGCCTACGCCACTTATTTATCGGGTGAGACTGTTTTGGTGATGTATTAACTTCACGGGAGGTAGACGACCGTCCTTCACACGGACGAAAGAGGGAGTACTCAAAGAGCGGCTCCCACAGCAAGGAGGGGCCCCGTGAATCATCGCGGTGCCCCCTATCAAACGGTTATCTTACCAGTCTGCGTGACACAAAATCATCCAGCACATGTATCCAACA